ATAAATCAAATTTCAATCTCTATATGACTGGGTTTTGTCCCGGGTATGTGACTCAGGGATCTGTCCTATGCCGTGCCAATAGACGACTGTATCCCTTTGTGTGCCACAGGTTGTAGCCAGGTAAAATAAAACACCGATCGAATAAATATACGGAGAAAATACTACTGTATACGGAGCTAGTAAAAAGAATTCAACACTGCACAGTTGTATAAACAATGATACTTCTTATTTATTAGAATCACCGCACTTGCTTCTTCCACAGCCAAACGCAGAATGACAATCTTACCTCGGATTATCTCTTATATATGTTGGCGGCACCACTAACCTCGGCTTTCATTATCCACCTTAAAATAAAACCTGTTACTAAATGAACCCAGAGCCGGATCGTCACAATTTTTTTGCTGAAAAAGTTCCTAAAGTGAAATTGAATAAACAGCAAACAGCACTCGATTTCTGATTCTTAAATAAATGGACAACAAATGTACACGTGAAATTATTTCTTGAAAAGATGGTTGACGATGTAAAGACAAATAATGAACCACGCAAAATAATGATTGGGGTCATTTTTCGACGTCTCCCCCCTCCCCCGAGGGAGGTAAAAAGATTATGAATTATAAATCAAGAGGCGAGGGATTAAATGCTTACATGTACCTTAGGTAAATTAAGGATACAGCGATGATATGTAAAATTAATTAAGTCTTTTGAAGAAAATGATCTGTCTCATGATAAATTGAAAACACCAATTGATTAGGACCATATACACTATAAGGAAATACATCCATAGTAATTTGACAAGTTATTGTTCTAAAGAATTTGTTTTAAATTCATCCCTTGTATATTCGAGAGAGAGAGAAAAAAAGGGGGAGAGAAAGAGAGAGAGAAAAATTTCTATGTTTTTTTTTTATTACAAGGATTTTAACAGTGAACAAACTTGGAATTTTCGAACACATAGTAGATGTGTCTAATAATTTGAAAAAGAAGAATTAATTATGTTTTAGAGACATTTAATTCATTTGAAATCATAAAGTTGTACCAAAATTACCCGGTAATAATATCAAAACGTGCGACATTTCAACACTTTATATAGCAATTCCCTACAATTAATCAAAGTCCAGGCTTTTTTGACATAAGAGACAGCTGCTTACCTTGTTACTGGGCCACTGCAAAATTATTTTGTTTAGAAACATTCTGATTGTACTCACATGCACTCCAAAGTTAATATTAAAAAGATGCTTGAGATTCTGATTGACAATATCTATGTAGTTTTTTTGAGATCAAGTCTTCCAACAATCTCTCGCCGAAATATGGCTGAAATATTGCCGACTCGGCGTTAAGCAATAATAATCAATCAATCAATCCAACAATCTTTCGGAATATCCATGGGTACCATTTGCGCCCCGTTATGATCAGACATATTTTACTTTCCTTTGAAGCAGAATTTATCCAAAAACTTGCATGACAAGAAAGAAACACTTAGACATTTAAATACAGTGTATGTCGACGACGTATTTTGAATTAAGATAATTACTTCCATTCACATGTCAACTCGATATATTCCAATTAACTTGAAATAAAGGATGCCAGAGAGTTTGACACACTGAATTGTCTACGGATTTTTTTGTCGGTCAAACGGATAAATCCGTAGACAAGGAGCATACCGAGGGTGTTGCCGGTCGACAAGGGATGCTTACTCCTCCATTGCACTTCTGATCTTTTTAGAAATCCATGTTTGCTCTGCTCCCAATTTGTATTGTCTCGGTGGACTTTGAGTTTGATTACTATTTGTTATCTCCATATTTCATTTCATTAAAACCGAAAGAATAAGCAATAATTAACTATCCAGTGCATAAGATAGCAAACTGTCCAATGCATATGGCAAACAATACCAAGGATGCAAGCAGTTTTATAATAAACTGCAAGTAAATATTTCAAGAAACCCCAAGAACCACAACGGAAAGGGTTTAATGAAAAACAAAATTCTATTAGATATCTTTATCTTGTCAACAACTTGAACTGGCTCCATGTGATGTATACATGTACTATCATTTGACAAAAGTTATGACCTTCATAATTTTTTGTAAATTTGTTAAAGATAACATGATTCTGAAATTACTAAATGTACTTGCTAACAAGGTCGTTATAATGACCCAAGAATTTTCGAATTGTTTGATTTAGACTGTAAAGGCCCTTAACATTAACCTATTTATCAGTAAAATTTTAAAAGTTGATAGTACTTAAAGCATATTCTAGCGTCGATATTGGGGTATTACTACGTAAATACATGTAAGAAGTAGGCAATTTAAAAGGCAATTCGATTGATTGTTGATTGTATGTTTTTTACGTCCCATTCGAGAATTTTTCACTCATATAGAGACGTCACCATATACCAATGAAGGGCTTCAATTTTGACCTTTACTCGGCACTCAGGGGCATTGAGCAGTGAGGGATCTTTATCGTGCCAACGCCTGCAGTGACACGGGGCCTCGGTTTTTAAGGTCTCATCCGAAGGACCCGCAACTTTCACTTCAAAGTGCCGAGCGCATGGCGAAGGAACAGTTGCTACCCATTTTTTATCGACTCAGGTCAGTCACGGCCGAGATTCGAACTCACGACCTTCCGATCACGCAGCGAGCGCTCTACCGACTGAGCTACCGTGAACAGTGAGGTCAATTCGAAGTCATCCCTTTTAGCAGATATTCTAGTTGTTATTTGGCGTTAAAGGTCTTAAATCAGTGGCTCGCGTCTTTCACAGTGAGCATATACCTCTTTGCATTCTTTGCCATATTTCCCAGGACTACATGCTGCAAAAATATTTGAAAGATGAAAACTGTTATAAAATGAAAATGCCACATTTAGTCAAGCAAATAGGTTACTGAAGGGTCTGGAAAAATGCAAATAGTAAAACATTCAGTCTCCGTTCAGTTAACTGCGTTACTTCAGTTCTGGAAGTTATTCATGTTGTAGCTCCGCGAAAATAATCGTTCTCGTTTCATTCCACTGTACAAATAAGATCGCTTATCTTTGCAAAAGTAACATGCAACGATGAAATAACTTCACAGTTTCATGTATAACACATATATTCGTTGGTAAAGTTAACAATTTTCTTCTAATTTGTATATCTTGTATAAATAATTCTTATTTCTGGGAGATCGACAAACAGACCCAGAAAAATGCAAATGGTTCGTCAAATAACAGAGCGAAGAATTAAATGACAACTGCAACAAACTTTTCTTTCATATTTCAGTTAAATTTACCCTATATTTTACATGAAATCTCCACAATTTGCAACAATCTCACAAATTTTAAAATTATCTGTCTAAGAAATAGCATGCCTCCATCAAAGATGACAAACAGGTATATTACTGTTCACGGTAGCTCAGTCGGTAGAGCGCTCGATCCGTGATCGGGAGGTCGCGAGTTCGAATCTCGGCCGCGACTGACCTAAGTCGATAAAAAATGGGTAGCAACTGTTCCTTCGCCATGCGCTCGGTACTTTGAAGTGAAAATTTCGGGTCCTTTGGATGAGACCTTAAAAGCCGAAGCCCAGTGTCACGGCAGGCGTTGGCACGATAAAGATCCCTCACTGCTCAATGGCCCTAACTGCCGAGTAAAGGTCAAAATTTGAAGCCCTTCACCGGTATATGGTGAAGTCTCTAAATGAGTGAAAAATTCTCGAATGGGACGTTAAACAACATATATCAATCAATTAACAAACATGTATCCTATCATATTATAACACTTTTTTCTATATAAGTTGGTTTTCACTCCATATCTTTTAAAAAATACCTTCAAGCTTTGCTTAAAGGTTTGCATGTTTTGCTTTTCAAAAACATGGAATTATGATCCACACTACCTTAAAAAAGACTGTTTATATACCATAGCAAGTATATTTATAAGACCATGATACTAAAATAACTAAATTGTAGGGTTATCAATTTACATGTACATTCAAATGTTCAAATATCCTTTGATACCATTTACTTTCAACTGCTTTTTTAATAGAGTAGTCCAAACAAAGTTGACAATACTGGTAAATATCCTTTATTTATTAGAAATCCCCAGTTCTCTTACTACGGAAGCCGGTTGGTTCCAGGTAGAAAAAATATTTTATCTGGCGGCCGCCAGATAACTTTCTGGCGGCCGCCAAATAATTATCTGGCGGCCGCCAGATAAATAACTGGCGGCCGTCAGAAAGTTATCTAGCGGCCGCCCAATAATTATCTGGCGGCCGCCAGAAAGTTATCTGGCGGCCGCCAAATATTTATTTGGCGGCCGCCAGATAATTTCTGGCGGCCGCCAGATAAGTTTTTGGCGGCCGCCAGATAACTTATCTGGCGGCCGCCAGATCTTTTTATCTGGCGGCCGCCAGAAACTTATTTGGGGGCCGCCAGATAAGTTTCTGGTGGCCGCCAGATAAGTTTCTGGCGGCCGCCAGATAATTATTCGGCGGCCGCCAGAAACTTATCTGGCGGCCGCCAGATAAAATATTTTTCTACCTGGCACCTACCGGCTTCCGTATCTTACACTGAAGTCACTAAGCCAAATTGTTACACTTATTTCAAATTCATGAAGGCTTTGATAGCCCCAAAAAGATTGAAAAACTAAAGCTATCAAAAATCTTTAAAGACATTTACTGATTTTGACATCCCTACATTTTTTTTCTTCAAACAACTAATGTACGTAGACAATATTTGCTTGTAAAATAATCATGTCTGTCCTTTGTTTGTTTATCATATGTTGTGTATGCTGATAAGCATGGAAAAATAATACAGTGGAGAAGGAGCTTTAAACCAAACTCAAAATTTAAATTGTATACTAAAAACCTAAAGAGATATAGATGTTATTGCCAAATCAGAATTTTTTGAAGTAAGTTGCAAAATTTAAAACAAAAAGCAGGGAATTGTAATTTGAATGATGCACAATTGTCCTTTATTATCGATTGTGTACATAAATTCTATGGCAATTTTCTTCCTAAATTTGTACTATGAATGATAAGTTACCTTTGCAAAATGGTGGAAGATATCCCTCTTTACAACCTTGTGTATCACACCGTCCCGTTATGTCGCATTCATATTTACACATATCACATCGAGCACACTTTTCGCCATATTCATGACGTGGGCAACCTGTTATGAACATGTTGAACAGTGAATTTGTAGATTCATCATACTTTTAACATGACAAATAACCAATTCAGTGAGAAGTTTATTTAATTTTGTTTCCTATAACAAAAAAAAAAAAAAAAAAAAAAAAAAAAAAATGTGCAATGGTCTATGTGTTTTAATGTCAAAGACGTGATGATAAGTAATGTTCAGTAAGTAAGCTTATCATACTTTTGACACTTGTATTGCAAAATTCACAAAACCCAGTAGATCCATTAAAATAACGAACTCTTAATTTTACTAGCATTTTAAAACATAACACACTTACATCAATAAACCTAAACAATTTCGAATAACCACCCTTATCGTTTAAAGATTTTAAAAAAAAGGAAAAAAAATTATTTTTATATCCAGATATAAATAAATATTACATTTAAAGACATAAAATATTCAAAATTATTAAAATTTTATAAATAAACATGTCAAAAAATAGCACTTTCTCCTTTAGGAATAAAATATTGCACATTAACTGTCATATGTATTTTAAGTGCCTTGCTAGTGAAAAACTACGGCTTAAGAAGGGATTCCTAATTTTTTTTTTCTGTATTTGTATACTTCGTAACACTTTCTCAAAAAATTATACCGTAAATCTCCACTTCACAGATCTCCAGAAATACACCAACTGGGTCATTAATTTTATCATTAAAAATCGTTACATAACGCGCTATACGAGTACAGTCCACTTCAAGCACCGTATGAAGTGTCTTATTCCCTGGGTCTTGATAACATATGTACTTTTTATCTACGTTTGGCGTATAAGACGCAAAAATGGAAAATCCTTTGAGTCTCTTCGTATTATGATCTGTTCTCCCTGAAAAAAAAATCAAAATAAGTAAAAATGCGTAAGCTGAAATTAATTAATTCTTTCAAAATAAAACCCAAAATAACATATTAAACCATTTTTTTATAAACGTTTGCTGAACATCCAGCTTCACGTCTACTGCGTGTATTAAAAAAGATTTTCCCCCGACGCTGAGAATCAGCAGTTAAATATGTTGCAAAGGCACAAAATACTGTATACATGTATCAACTCTCTCAATTTCCTTTCAGGTTCATCATTATAGTTATATCACATTTGGAAAAATGGAAATCTTCAAGTTAATTTTAAGCAATTGTAAATGATAAATAAGTTGCATTTACATGCTGATAATCATTTGTTAACAAAACCAGTTTCGAAGTTATTTTATTTCTCTGAAAATGTTTTTTTTTCTTTCGTAGATAAAGAAATCAACAATTTACAAGACCCTCTAAAGGACCAAAGCCTTATATTAAAGCTACCATGGATTAAAATAAGAAACATAAAAAAAATGCGAGAAAAGGTTTGAAATTTAAGTTTCATTATTTTTAAATTAGTGACAGGGACGGACACTTAAAACATTTAAAAGGAAAATAATGGATGAGCCTTGTTGAGTTGTAATCCCATATTTTCTTTGTTTTTGATCAAAGTAGAATATATGAAAGCATATTACTATTCTTGTCGCTCCTGTACCATATTTTAACGCTTTTTAAATTGAAGTAGTCTCCGAGGTCAATTCTTAACCAGGCCCTTTTCCGCCCTGGGGCTGTGTGCATGCAGTTTCTATAATCTTGATCGAAATTTTTGTCAATGGTTTTGTCAGCAGATCCAGAGTAAGTACCATACGTATACGTAGAACTGCTTTCCACTTTCGTTTTTGTTGTATTCACGAGCTGGTCTTTTGAAAATAAAAAAAAAGAAAGGGATAAATAAACATAGAGTTATCTACCTTAGTATAATGAATATTATTTAAGTATAATATCTAAAATGAATTATAACATAAAGATTTTATTTTTTAGTTGAAGTAAATTATGGCAGAAGGTTTTACAACATCATATTCTTAACATACAAAAAAGGAATAATTTCTCTTGGATAAATATGTCAAACCTATAATTGACAATGTCATTTACTTCTTGTCAAATAAATTTCGAAAGTAATTGAAGTCGTAAATTGATAAAAATAAAACGTAAATTTTTAAGGAATGTTTTTAAGTTTTGTGTGAGCGCGCTTCATGAAATATGCCTACGTGACAAGTCTGTGTGATTTACACACTAATAATTCACACTGAACTTAAAAACGTTCCTTATATTCATATTTTATGTGTTTAAAAACACCAAAATATACTAGGTGCTTGAATTTCTCAATGTCCTATATCGTTATAATTTTATTTATGTCTCTGTCGCCTCATTGTGACGTCACTTAAGCGCGAGTTTCTCTGTGTTTATTTTTACGCGTGAATTTACACAAAAATGTCATTCAAATCAATTTCATAGTTGGGTAAGAAGAAAAACACAGAAAATGTAAATATATCATAATAAATACATCCATAGAGAAGCTTTTCTACGAAATGACAAACTTTACTGATTTACTACTGTATAGTTGAAACACATCAAAGACCGCCAAAGGAACAGTTTCATTATTTCTTAGATAACAAATCCACTTTCTCTAACTAGCAGACTCTGTATTTTGTAGAAACCCACCAAATCCATTCAACACGTCATATCGAACAAGGTTCATTGCTTTGTATTCTCATTATTTTATTTTCTTAATTCTTATTTTGTTAAGTCATTGTCAACGTAAGAATTGGTTAAAAAAAGACGAAAAGAGCATAGTGATAAAAATCGTTGTTATAGACGAGTCAGCTGTAACAGCATCCCCAAAGGGGGTTCATCAAAATAGATATTAGTTATACACTCGGATACGTTCTTGCTCCGGATAAAGCTATTTGTAAGAAGTGCACTACCATTTAGGTATGTACAAATGACACGGAGGTTAGAATAAGGTATTGTTGTCAGTGACTGCAACTCAATATACGTGATTTTATATATAACGTGTTCTGTTTATATTACTATGATGAAACATTGAATTACAGACATAATAAATACATTAATGACCTTTTAAGTATCTGAATGTATTTTTTATTAATTTTTTTCCGACATAGTCTAATTTTTGAAGAAGAAAAAATGCAATGAAGAAAACGATATTCACTGGGGTTAATTGAACAAAACGAAGAAAAAGAAAATAAAGAGCAACGCAAAATGAATTTACAGTTGGTTTACAAGATATCTTATTCTTCTGAAAACTTGAAAATACGGATCTTCTAAATGTAAATTACATTCCTTTGCTAACATTTGCACTCCGCGCCTTCGTGGATAAGATAGTTTACTACATACATGCTTTTAATGTCAATAACAGATATTTATGGTTCAAATCATATTAAAAATGAAAACTGTAGGATGTACTATGAAGGTACTATCATGATTTAGATGAAAGTCCCATGCAGTTTATAATGTGTACAATGTATATATCTGATGTAAGAGATTGTTTTGCCAAAAGGAGATTAAACTCAAATTTCAAAAGTATTTTTAATTGCATTATCAGTTTACGTAGTACTCACAAAGTACTTTGTCACAGGAGGGAAATATCTCACCTTTATTTGGAATTCAATATAACCAAGTTATATATATCATCATAGGTTACTACAACAACTATTAATCGATTTGAACTTTGAAATTTTGCTTCAAATTAAAGAAAAGTCATAATTTGTTAATTTAACACAAAGAGGCAAAGGGAGAAAAGTGTAGGAGAGAAGAGGCATCAGCCATTTTGCCATACCTACTTTGTCTCATGTGAGAAAAAGGGTTCTTAATTCGATATGTAATGCATGTGTTTCCCTTTATTTAAATAGATAAACTTCCTCCAAAAGCTTAACGAGCTTTCTTCATAAAAAATCATTATAAAATTGATTGAGGCTAAATTAAAATAGTAAGTGACAGTACAACAGAAAAACAATCTTATTATAAAACTGACTTTAAGAAATGCATCCACGAAAATTCATACCCTTGATATATCAATGAATGCAATTTTTCTCCACAAAAGTCCCCTTATTTTAATTTTATTTCATCTGATTAGTCATTGACGAACTAGGCGATAAACATTTGTAACATGGAATTGATGAGTATTGCCAAATATGAATTTATCAATTCATAAATAAAGGAAACTGATGTCTAAAATAAAATGAAATAGTTTATTTATACCAGTGATAATCATTGCTGAATGAAATGTTGCTTTATCTGGAATTTGTTTTAGTATTAAAATGGTGGGTTTCTTCCTTGTACGATTGAAAACTGATCCAAAACATAAAAGTAAAAATTCATCATCGTTATTTCCGAAAATTGTTGTTTTGAAATTTGCTGTTTAAAAGGTATGAGTGGAAAATAATTGATACCTACCATAACTTGCAACATAATGTATTAAATAAATCCAAACGTATAATACCAATGGACTACCCGCATAAAATTCCATACTTGATCAACAGAAAATGCTATCGTAAAGAGCAAGACACTTCATGTACAGCTGTACAATCGTAAATTGTTATACTATCAAATCCTGATAAATATGTTTTTTCGTTCCTTGTTTAATTTTGAACCACTGAGATAAATGTTACAGTTCAATTCCCTTTTACTACAAGCTAAAAAGGATGTCATTTTTTTTTTATAAAGATAATTACAACCACATTAAGCACTCCTCGTTATAAGTGAACGCCATTTGTATCTACGCCGATTTCATGTTCTTTTCTTTTCTTAGACCAGGAAGACATTTATTTTGCTTTTGATAAGCGTATTCATAACACTAGTTAAGCACTAACATTAACGTTTCAAAAAAATTAACAGAGGAAACGGGACATTCAGTTGATGAATTTTAAAAGACACTTGTACTTGAAGTCATCAGTTATAATGCAGTAATTCAAATACATGTATTTATAACTAAAATGCTTTATGGTGCATAACGTAAATTTAAAATCATAACACTCACAATATTATACGTTATTTTTAATATACCATATACTGCGTTTTTAATAAAAATGAAACTCGTAAATTTACTTACCTTGTCATTAGTCATTTGCAAAACTATTTTGTTAAAATACATTCTTATTGTACACACAAGTACTTTGAAGTTGATCTTAATAAGATGCTTGAGTTTCTGAATGACAATATCTATGTGGTTTTTGGAGACCAGGTCTTCCAACAATCTGTTGAAATTTCCATAGGTACCAATTGCAACCCGTTGTTAGCAGCCCTAGTTTTGCATTAATATGAAGCAGAATTTATTTGAAATCTTATACATGAGAAAAAAATATCTCTTGCTGTGGCCTTCAACTCGACATTTAGATATATCGACGACGTATTATCAATTAACAATGGTTATTTCCACTGATATGTCGACACGATATTTCCCAGTGAGCTTGAAATAAAAGATACCACAGAATCTGACACAGATGTTTCATATTTGGATTTTTTACTAGAAAACGACATTAATGGTAATCTAATAACAAAGTTTTCTGATAAACTTGAGGACTCTAACTTTTCAATCGTCAACTTCCCTTACTTATGCAGCAATCACCTGCGTATGGGGTGTATATCTCTCAGTTGCGCAGCACTGTTAAGGCGTACTATGAAGAAATCAACGGAATATAGAGGAGAAAAAGTCGGGATCCTTTTTAACTGAATTTATTTTTGTAGAGCTGTTATATTACCACATGACTTTGATACTTATTGAAATAACATAGCATACCCCACTGTATATTAAATTTAGTTTGATCACCTGATTGGACAGTCACGTGATAAATGCATATAATGTGTTCTGCATGGAGGTCATGCACAAATTTCAATATTGCAAGGGCATACCCTAATTCAAATTAAAAATTTGAGTGATTAATTGTTTCTGCATATTCTGTAGTTTCTGGAAAGTGCTGCTGCTTTAAATAAAATTCGCATTTTGTTAGTTTAAATTTCAAATATTTGGGCTCATGTTGAAAAATGTATGACCTTTACCAAGTATTTTATGTACTTATTAAGTCTAGCTCTCGATTTCAAGAAAGCAGCAGCACTTTTCAAGTTAAGGAATATTCCCTTTCTTTATATTCAAAAATTAGTCAAGATCTATTAAGTGTATGCCCTTGCGAAAAGGCGATTTAATGAGGCACCTCGATGTTAAACATGCTAACCCTATATACACAAAAACACTGTAGAATTAATTCAGTACATTCTTAATAAATTATTTATTAATGACATTTAAACAAAGTTTTGTATTGGTTTTAATGGTCTATCTAACATTTGTAAATAATATTCTGTTTAATAATTAATCTATATTTCATTGTGAAAAAATTACTCGATACGCCTCTCATTGAACATCAATTGCGTAAAATTTTCCATTGATGACGTCATGTCGACAAGTGCATAGCGATCAATAACTTGTCTAAACCTTACTCTGTCGGATTTAACTAGCGACAAAAATGAATGCACTGATAAGTTTTCATGTAGTTCAATGCTACTACACAGTTTAAAATCGCAAAGTATTTTATTTTATGGCATTTTAAGGAATTTGCCTTTTTATGTAATATCATAGTAAGCATTTCCCGTATAAATTAGGCCCCTCACCCTTTTTGTAGCCTTAACTGTGCTGCGTGATTCGATACGCAAGAGCATGCTCAACGTTTGAACAAATTCTAAAACGAGGTAAGTTATTGACAAACAAGTTGATGAAACAAGAATATCAACAGTCTCGTTTAAAGTCATCATTTCGTAAGTTCTATGTTCGATACAATGACCTTGTCAGCAAATACAATCTATCATTAAGTCATAGGCTGACTGACGTTTTTCATACTTATTGTTAGGCCATTGTTTACACACTGAATTCTCGACGGATTTTCCTGTTATTTACCGATCATGACAAGGAGCCCTTGGCGGGTGTGACCGGTCAGCAGGGGATGCTCACTCCTCCATGGCACCTGATACAACCTCTGGTGTTTTTGAGGTCCGTGTTTGCTCTGCTCCCGATTTGTATTGTTTTAACTGACTTTGAACTTGAACACTGTTCATTATCTTCATTTTCATACACTCGTACTGAATTAATCACTTCATGAAGCTAGGATTGAGGATAAAATTTTTATCGGATGATCATTCATTCTTGGTAAATAATAAAGCTTAAAAACAGGGATTAAGCTCAAAATCATATAGAAAAGAAGAAAGCTAATGCAGGTCAAACGCAGACCCATGGTCAGGTGTCACGGAGAAGTACAGGTAAGTTACCATAGCTCTTTGTCTTAAACAGATAAACGATTTAACGTCACATTTGCATGTCTTGACACAGTCTTCTTTCGTTAAGACTAACATAATGTACCCAAACCTTATGATTATATTTTTTTTTTTCAACAAATTTGTTCTGAATACGTATTGTTTTTAACTTACAAATACACTAAATACATATACAAATACACTTACATTAAATTCCTCGAACAGGCACTCTTGCTTGCTTTAAAAGTACTTTTAGCACAGAATAACTTGGGGTGTTCTCTCTCTCTCTCTCTCTCTCTCTCATGAATTTCCTTTTTGTTCAGTTCAGGAAAGGATATATCTTTTTCATTTTTTTTTTTAAATTGGTCAAATCTGCAAATGTTCGATTTAATTTTTTTATTTAATACAATCAATTTGAAATGTATTCCATGTTTAGAGAAATATTATTATGGCATCATATCGACTACATGCAGAGAGTGGCACATAACCACCTCTGACAGTGACTTAACAAACAAACATGTTTTCTTTAATTTTGCATGAACATCAAAATTAAAAAGAAATATTCTTCATGTGGAGAGGCCTATTAACACAACTGACTTTATAATCAACCAGAAGGTAATGCATAATAATTAAAAGAAATCTTCATGTACAGCAATCTATTGCCACACCAAACTTAACACTCACACAGGAGTTTATACATAAAAATTGTAGAGGTATATACCAGGTAATAATCTACATGTGAAACGGCCTATTACCATGCACACCCCACATGACACTCACACAGCAGATAATACATTAAAAATTGTAAAGGATATAATCGTCAACATGTGGAGTGGCCTATTACTATAACAAATATACACACTTACACATAAGAAAACTTTAAAGGTGTTTTTGATACGATGTCTCATACGAATCCTTTAAACGTCTGGCCAGTTTAAAATGTGCAATTCTTGTTGTCAAAATCAAGCCGGTATTGTTTAGATCAAGCACAAAATGTTTATTCAGGAATACATGGTCTTTTGTCTTCAGATATTGAAGGGATTCACGAGTTAAGTTTCTGTTGTTTTAAATGATTCGGACTGCTGCTACTTTCTGCAATTAAAATATTGTGATAAAGTAAAAGACAGCCGGCATTCTGAAGGCATATCAACTAACTTAAGTCCTGGTCTCTTACAAATAAAACAGTCAGAATGGCTCTTCACTGTTGATTTACATGTAATTGGTAAGGAAATTGATGGAGGACTTGGAGTTTTAGTTGAAGTTAGATGTACTGGTATGCGTTTATTTGAAAGTCATCTTCACTCTCTAGAAGCTGGCTTTTCTGTTGTTTTGAATGTTCCTTGCTGTACATGTGTCAGAACTTGTTGCAGACAATAGAATTGTCAGCGGCAGAAATGAGAAGCTTCTGCTGCAAATATTTGCAAATGGCCTTGTTGAACTTTTTCCTGTCTCTTTGTTTCACTCTTTAATAACAACATGCACAGTTTAAGTTTTTTATTCTTCTCTCACACTAAGGAATCCTCTAATCAAATGTTATACATGAATTAAAAATGCAATGAAAATACAGTTATAAATTTAAAATCATCCATTGTTGAATTTTTGTAAGCATCATACATATATACTTCAAAATAATTTTAGTTTATGTTGTTTTTGCACTCGCCGTGAGAAAATGAGATGAATTTATAAATAATTAATACATTTTGTCATAAAATTCTTAGTCAAATATAGCTGGGAAAAAAGCAAGTATTATTTTATATCAAATATGATTCTATGAGTGTAGAATGAAAGAGTTTGAACATTACATAGATTTATCCAATTCATGATTAATTTCATCAATTCGTTAGACATAATTTTTTTTATAAGAAACCAAAAATGTGAAGTCACATTTTAATGTGAAGTCACATAAAATGTCAATTAATTACTTTTTTGGTTGTGCTATAGAGATCAGAGAATGATAATCTTTTTTTTAAATGACATAAAAAGAGAATGATTATATTTATCAGTGTGTTTAAGGGTATAATTCTCATCCAATATGTCAAATATCTTGATTTCTTAACATATCTAACTGTAATTTTTTATCAGTGCTAAAAATGAATCAAGTTTAATAAAAACATCGGTGGTCATATATTTACCAGATGTGTTGTATCTCAATTTGATTTTGAAAACTATTGCAGTTAAAAGGGCTGTTACCTATAGGGAATACATGTAAACTAATTGTTTTACATATTCTTATTTGATCTAAAAGATTTACTGAAATCTCTTTCTCACTCTTTTTCTCTCTCTTGAAACACTGGAAAGTTTTAAAGGAAATCGAAAAAAGTTCATTAGTTTACTTTGAATCTTTATCAATGTTCAAATGTTGTGCCACAACTTGTGCTTGAATTTTTGTTTAGGTTACATGTACAGTACAAAGGCATAAGAATCCCGGGCATATGTCAAGAATCCTA